AAACATCCTATCTCAGCATCTTATGAGGTCCTTTGTCCCATCTGACTTGTAATCACTCTGTCCTCAATGTAATTAAAGGAAGATTTTTAGAGAAGTCACAGTGCCTGGCTTGTGTGCATCTCCCAGGCTGATGGCCCAGTCTAGGCTGGCAGGAAAGGAGACTCCTGTCAATGTTTCTCCAATGGACTGGGGTTTACTGGGAACTCAGACATGCTCCTTTCACTTTGCTGTGAATAGAATTATAGTTTTTATAGTAAAGATGTGGAATCTGTCTCAGAATCTCCTATTATATGCACCAAGATTGGGCATGTTGGGCTGGGCTTTGTTGGGGCTCTAACTATATTGTTAGCTCTGGTCTCTCCACCACTGACTTGCTTTGTTTGAGGCAAAATAAAAGACATTTCTCCTTTACCCACTAAGTTCAATCATCAGTCAACTAACTCATTTCAATTGTGTTTCTCTGAGTCAACTGAGAGATGAATTCAGGAATCAGAACAATGCCCATTATTTGCACCTTTATTACTCCCTTAATGATCTGGGAAGCAGTTTGGTGTCACCCAAAGCACTCACTTATACTCTTTTCTCCCCCAAAATTGAATTTACTCCTCAAAATACCAGGCACTGGCACCCATGGGACAGACTTATCTCCTGAAGCTTATCAGTGGGGAGAACCTGCTCTCTCTGTAGACAGTAGATTCCACAGAGATCTGGAGAAGACAACCCTGAAAGCCATGACCAGGACAATTGCAGCTGCCATGGTCTCGCTGGCTCCGGCTTCCTCTCCTCAGCTCAGGCATCCACAGGCTCTGCCTCAGCTCTGTCTGCTGTGCTGGGGCCTGGAAACTCTCAGGCAGTGAGCTGTGGATGTCACAGGGCTCATTCGTTTCTTTTCTGTCCCTCATGGATCCCTATCCCTAGTTGCCTGATATCCAGTGTCATGGAAAACATTGTGTCCTATATTTTACATAGTTTTAGGAAGGAGGATAAGTCTAGTCTCTCATACTCTATCTTGGCAAAAGGCAGAAGTGTAGCTTTTAGTTTCAATATGGCTTTTTATTTCACAGTAATTGTACAGTCATACAATGCTCACAGTGGTAGCATCTTGCTTAACTTGTGGTTCAAGTTCACAACTAGGAAACTGACATTGGTACAACCATCCACCTTATTCAGATTTAGTGGCTTATAAGTGTGAACTCTGGGCGGTGCCTGTGGCTCAAAGGAGTAGGGCGCTGGCCCCATATGCCGGAGGTGGTGGGTTCAAACCCAGCCTCAGCCAAAAACTGCAAAAAAAAGAAAAAAAAAGAGTGTGAACTCCGTGTGTGTGTTGTGCTAGTCTACACCATGTTGTCACAGGTGCAGGTGCAGAGAGATCAATCTCAAGGTTCCCTTTGTGACCATGTTACAGTCACATCCAGCTCCTCCAACCTCTGAGAACACTAATCTGTCCTCCTTTTTGAAAATTTTGTCATTTCAAGAATGGTATATAAATGGACCATATGTGATGTGATCTTGGGGGTTGAGTTCCTTTTTACTCAGAGTAATTTCTAAGTTTTTACACATATTCACAGCTTGTTCCTCTTTACTGCTGAGTGGTTTTCCAATTCACGGATGTCCCATGGTTTGTTAAACCATTCACCTACTGGGGGATATTTGGGTTGTATTCTGTTTTTGGTTATTAAAAATGAAGCTTCTGGGCTGTGCCTGTGGCTCAGTGGGTAGGGTGCTGGCCCCATATACTGAGGGTAGTGGGTTCAAACCCGGCCCCAGCCAAACTGCAACAAGAAAATAGCTGGGCATGGCGGTGGGCGCCTGTAGTCTCAGGTACTCTGGAGGCTGAGGCAAGAGAAGCACCTAAGCCCAAGAGCTGGAGGTTGCTGTGAGCTGTGACGCCACAGCACTCTACTGAGGGTGACAGTGAGACTCTGTCTCTTAAAAAAAAAGAAAAGAAAAGAAAAGAAAAGAAAAACTAGCTGGGTGTGCTGGCCTGTATTCCAAGCTACTAGGGAGGCTAAGGCAAAAGGATTGCTTGAGCCAGGAGTTTGAAGTTGCAGTGAGCTATGATAACACCACTGCACCCTAACCTGGGCAACAGAGTGAGACTCTGTCAATCAACCAATCAAATAACTCTTCTACTACAGCCAAACACCAAAGAAAAATCAATGCCCCACCCATGCCGGCAAAGATAAAGCAGGAGGGTTTGATTTCTCTGTAGTCAGGAATCTCACACCACCTGCACCCCAGATTGGAAAAAAATAGAAAAAGAAGAAAATGAAGCTTCTGTGAATATCTGTGTACAGGATTTTATGTGAACATAAGTCCCCATTTCTCTGGGATACGCTCAAGAGTAAAAATGCTGGGCCATATGGTAAGTACATGCTTGGTTTTGCAAGAAATTGCTAAGCTTTATTCCAGAGTTGCTGTATCCTCTTACATTCTCACCAGCAAGGTGTGAATGGTCCAATTTCTCTGCATCTACAACAGTATTGCTGTTATTGGTGTCTTTTATGTTAGTTATTTTGATAGGTGTGTAGTGACGCTTGCTGTGGTTTCAATGTACACTTCACTAATGGATATCTCGAACATCCTTTTATGTATTTTGTCATCTGTATGTATATCCTTTTCAGTGAAATGTCTGTTCTCATCTTCTGTCAAATTTTGGATTGGATTTATTATGTGTTTTTTTTTTAACTGCTGGGCTTAAGAGTTGTATATTCTAGATACAAAGCCTCAGTTAGATGTGTGCTTTGCAAATATCTTCTTTCAATCTGTAGCTTGTTTTTCATCCTCTTCACAGGATCTTTTATAGAAGGAAGTCTTTCTATTTCTAAGAGGTCTAGTGTTTTGGAGTCCCGTCTATGGAAAGTGCTTATGTGCCAAATCTAGAAACTCTTTACCCTTCTTAAGTCCTGAGCAATTTCGCCTATGTTTCTTTTTAAAAAAAAAATAATAGTCTTAATTTATTTATGTATTTATTTATTTTTGAGACAGAGTTTCACTCTGTTGCCCAGGCTAGAGTGCCATGGCATCACCCTAGCTCACAGTAACCTCAAACTCCTGGGTTTAAGCGATCCTCCTACCTCAGCCTCCCAAGTAGCTGGGACTACAGGAGCCTGCCACCACACCTGGCTAGCTTTTTCTATTTTCTAGAGATGGTGTCATACTTTTCCTCAGGTTGGTCTCCAACTCCTGAGCTCAAGGGAGCTGCCTGCCTCAGCCTCCCAGACTGCTATGATTACAGGCATGAGGCACTGTGCCTAGCATAAAGTTTTAAAGTTTGTGATTTCTTTTGGATAATTTTTTTATAGGTGGTAAAGTTGATATTAATTTTTTTTGCCCAGGCATATTTAATGTTTCTAGTACCTTTCTACCTTTCTAGCTATCCTTTCTTATTCAGTTACTTTAGTTAGGTTAGGCAATTAGACATGGGCAGGGTGGATGGGAGATATAGTTTGGCTAATTTAGACTGGCTTGAGTTAGGCTGACCTGGGCTATTGTGGGAATGGGGTTGATCACTAATCGAGGCCTTGCAGGTGGGTTGTTTTCAGGAGCCGGTTGTTTTGAGCAGACTGATTAATGTCCCTGGGACTTTTTGACATGAACAGACATATATAAATCATTATGGGATTAGAGTTGACCCAGACCATGGAAAGGTTCCAAAAAGTAGTTGACACCCCACAAAAGTTGTGAGTAAAATCTAGACCCCGTGTTTTTCTCAGAGGCTGCAGTTACTAGGATGGGGCCTGGTTTGCTGTCCAAACCATTAAAACAAACATTTCTTGCTAAAACTTTACACATTCTTATTCTCTTCAGTTATTTCAGTGATTACCTAGAACTGCCAGTAACACAGCCCTAACATTTTGGTGAGGCAGCCAGGAGCAGCTCTTGGTTAAACTTTGGCACTATGCCTGGTTGCACCTGCTTTCTCTGATCATTTACTCTGTCTACTTGGTACCAGTAACCATTCTTCGGTACTGATACAGGGCTGGACAAGGACTCCCCATTTTCTAGGCCGGTTGAGCTCAGAAATCAGTCTCATCATACCATGGGGCAACTACTGAAAAGGACAAAGTTGTTTAGCTTACAAGATAGTGAAATATTCACACAAACACATCCAACTGACTTCCAACAAAGGTGCAAAAGCATTAGGGCTGGGACTATAGGCACCTGCCACAATGCCTGGAGATATATATATATATATATACATACATACATACATATATACATACATACATACTATATATATACATATGTATATATACATATACATATATATATACATATATATATACATATGTATATATACATATACATATATATATACATATGTATATATACATACATACATATATATGTATGTATGTATGTATGCTCATGCTCCTCTTCCTCCAAAGAATGAAGGTTTCCAGAGGCTTCTTGACATGGGATAGAGCCTGGACTATGGTTGTGATTTACCTTTCATATGAAAGTGTGAGTGATTATAAATTGGTTTTATAATAGTACTGGGTACATTGGAATCCCTGGAGAATTTAATTTCTGAGTGTGCCTCCCAAGGCTTCCCACACTGGTGTCAACCCCACCTTCCCTCCATATATTGTTGCTCCTCTGCTCTAAAACATTCAGCTTCTCCAGCCCCTTTAGGCGCTTCCGAATCTCTGCGCACATTGTTTTGTGTTACCTTCTACCCCACAAGGAACCTCCTACACTCCGTTGTCCCGCCTTTCCTCTGGAAGATCCCTAGATTCCCGGTCTTCAAGCTCCATCCAGCGCTTTCACCGCTCTCCGTTCCCTGACGCGCTTGCAGCGCCTGTCCGCGCGCGCCGGTGTCGGCGTTTGCAGCGCACCCCTCTCCGCGCAGGCGCTCTCGCTCGCAGTTCCTACCTGAGCAGCCCCAAGCGCCCGCGATCACGCGGCTCCGCAGATCGGGGGCCGCGCCGGCTGAGAACTCGCCAGGCGCTTTGTCCCTTGCTAGGCCCGGGGGCCGGCGAGGCCGCAACAGTGGCATGGGCCTGAGTCCAGCCGACGGTAGGGAGTACAGGCTTCGTCTCCGTAGGGCGCCCCCGTCTCGTCCCAAACCTGCCTTGAAAACTGCCCTTACGCCAAATGATGACCAACTGGCTCCCGGATGTTCAACTGTGGCTCCCTCAGGTGTGCCCAGGAATGGGGCCCTTCCCACGAGGCCGCCGCGCTGGGCTGTGAAGCCCTACTGGGGGGTTCTCTGGGACGCAGCAGGCCGTTACCGCCAAGGCGCCTCCTAGACTTTGTCTATGCCTGTTAACTATGAGCGAATATTTGAGAACGACCATTTGTTATTAACTAATCAAAGCAAGCTGGGCATCCAGTGAGTCCCTCCTTCTCACTGTATGTCAGGTGGAAGCGGGACAGTGATACTAACTTCCAGAAGGTACAATTAAGAACGGCTCTGCCAGATTCCTGCGATCTGGGACAGAGGCAGCTTGCCTGTCTTCATCCTTTCCTGATCTCGGGGAGTTCCAAAGTCTTTCGCAGAGGAACTGAACCCACTCCAACACCTACTCCCATAATCCCCTTTCGTCCAGAAAGGTGTTGAGGGAAACAGGCACGGTTCTAAACTAGAGCTCCTAGCTACTTTTGTATATCCCTCTAGGTGCTCCCTTGCTTAAACTCTTCTTTCACAGATTTCCCCCCAAAGAAAGCAATTGTGGTTTAAATAGCTTTTCCCCCTCAAGAATTAGAAGAATGCGTGGGATCACAAGCTTTGGTCCAGCTCCAGCCCCAGCAATTCCAGCAGGGGACCCTAGAACCAGGCAAAAACGTCCAGCAAGGGTAAGATTGTATATTAAGTAAGACCTGGGTCTTTGGGTGGGAGAAGCCTTTTGAAGAGCTGATTTGGAGACAGTTCTGCAAAACAAATCCTGGTGGGTTTTGTGAGAACCAGCAGGCGGGAAGGCTGGTGTGCTGCTGGGCAATAAAGGATGGTACTAGACTTGAAGCCGGCTGCAGGAGTGGCCTGCAAGGAGTCCTGAGCCAAACGGCCATCCTCCAGACCCCGCCCCTCCCCCGCCGAGAATTGCAACACTTCATAGTGTGAGGATATTGACCGTTGGTCTCACCAAGGAATGATGTGACCTTCTTGCAGATTTCTTTAACTCACTTTCTTTAAAAACATGATGGCTGCCCCTTAAAAATTCTGAGGGGAAAAAAAATTCGGAGGGGCTGAAATTTTGGAGAAGAGTTAAAAGTGTGGGAAAAGATAAAGAAAAAGCCATTTCTGAGTTGGTGGTGTACCACATGTGCTGCAGTAGGCCCTCTGACTTCACCCTCTTGACAAGCCTATGAGACAAATACTATGCCACTATTTTAAAGATAATCAAACTGAAGTTCGGACAGATTAATTTGGACAGCAAGCATCAGAGCTTCAAATCCAGATTGTTTTGGCTCTAAGTATTAATATTTCACTCTACTACCTCAAAAGCATATTCTTGCCTTTTGTTTCAGTCTTCTGTAACATGGCATTATGCTTCGAGGGACAGGACATACTGATTTCATTCATACTACTTGCAGTTACAGTGTTGTGGCTTAACTAGCTTTCTCAGAAATATGTAATTAAATATTGGAAGAGACAGCTCAAGAGTTCAAGGAGCTTGCCTATAGGCAGTAGGATCTGGTAAGAAGGTTGGGGCAGAGGCTTCTGCATTTCATTATAAGCTCTTATGTACTGTTTCCTTTTTAAAAAATCTACATGCAAGTGTCACTTTGATGAACATTTGAAAAAGATTATTGGGAAAAAAACCTCTAAAAGCTACTCCTTACAATCATTAGAATTTTATTTTTATTTATTTTTTTTGAGACAGAATCTCAGTATGCCACCCTTGGTAGAGTGCTGTGTCCTCACAGCTCACAGCAACCTCAAACTCCTGGGCTTAAGCGATTCTTTTGCCTCAGCCTCCCAAGTAGCTGGGACTACAGGTGCCCACCACAATGCCCAGCTATTGGTTGCAGTTGCCATTGTTTAGCAGGCCAAGGCTGAGCATGAACCTGTATGTGGCTGGCGCCCTACTCACTGATCTGTGGGCACTGAGCCAATCATTACAATTTTAAATAATTGCCCGGAAAACCAGTAAACAGCAATTTATTTTCTGTGAAAGCTAATAGCTTCATGGAAACCAGCTCAGGGGAAATGTCCCCTACGATCTTAAAAGCTGAAAGGTAATCTTAAAATCACAAATCTGAAGTGATTTGTAATACAGATTTTCCAATAATTGTGAAATAGTGTTATTTGTTAACTGTGTGATTGCAAAATCATTTAGGGAGAAGCCTGTAGTTAACGTGGAGACCACACCCAGCCAGAAGAAAGCAGAGTTGAATTCAATACCCAAGTCTGAGAGTGAAGGCAAGTTAATAAAGGAAGTAAGTGAGGTAGGTATTATAAGAATTCTTATGTTAGTACCAGCTCAAAGGAGTAGGGCGCCAGCCGCATATACTGGAGGTGGTGGATTCAAATCCGGCCCGGCCAAAAACTGCAAAAAAAAAAAAAAAGAATTCTTATCTTTGACTTTCTGGCCACTTCTCTAATATTTTACTTTATTTAGACTGTGTTTAAATTTAGACATTTCACTTTATTTAGATTTGTTTAATAAACACCCATATTGATTTGGGATATAGGCTATGTTGTTTCTTTTAAATAGTTTTATTAAGGTATAACTAATATACAGTAAACTCCACATATTAAAAATACAAAATTTGATATTTTTTGGCATATGTCTATGCCTCTAAAACCATTGCCACAATGAAGACAGTGAACATCTCCCTAGTGTACAAAAGTTTTTTTGCGTCTCTTTGTAATCCCTCCCTCTCCCCAACGCCTATCCCCAGGCAACAGTTGATCTGCTTTTTGTCACTGTGGATTAGTTTGCATTTTCTAGAGATTTGTATAAATGAAATCAAATCATATGTGCCATTGCCACCACCCCTCAACCCTGATCAATGCCAGAAATAGCCTGAATTGGATTGGTTTGTGCTCCTATACTTGCATCTATGCTTATTGTTCACCCTTTGTTCACAGGCCTTTCGTTTTACTTCCTGTCTAGTGTCAGGTCTTAGATATTAATGGTCCTTATGCTTGCTGTGTCAGTGAGGATGGGCTAATAGGCTTTCCTGTGTCATGTGTGTAGAATAGCAGAAATGGCCTTCGCTTTGTGCATATGTCCATTTAAAGACACTGGACTTGATAAGTTCTCTTCTTCTCTCATTTACCTATGTCCAAGAGTGAAAAATAAGTAGGAAGTTTGTGAATCAGAGCTTGGCATATACTTAAATTGTAAATTAAAGGTAACCAACTGTTTATCTGCATCAGCATGTGTAAATGTTGAACCTGCCTTATTTTTTACAAATGAATTTCAAACATTTTGAAATTCAGACTTTCTTAGGGACATTTTAAAATACTGCTCTCTGATCCCTATGTCATTTAAAGAGAGGAGTTTACTTAGAGTGATATATTCTTATTAATATTTCAATCACCAAGAGAATCCTATTAATTTGCCGATTGTCCCCTCCCCTCTTTCCCTTTCTTAGCTGTTCCTAAGCCTTCCTTCTTCTACATCACGTGTGATCTGTGCCATCGTTCACATGCTGTAGTTCAACCCTTAGCTTTCACCCTCTTCAGTGTACTAACGGTCTCCAGCTTTTAGGAGGGGTATATCCATATCTCTTTCCTTGGGAGTGTGGTGAAAGAAAACAAAGTTCAGTTTTAAATCTCTCTCAATCTAATTCTGCTTTCTGTGTGAGAATCTGGTTTGGGGAGCCCTCTAGTGGGTGCTTGCCTGCCACTGCATTTTCACTTCAGGGCTGAAGAAGAGAGTTGGGGTGGGGTGGGTGGCTGGGGTGGAGCCCTTCTGCTCCTAGCTCTGCCGTGCACTTGCTGTGGGATTTTGGATAAAGCCCTTCATCTCTCTTGGCTTCAGTTTCTTCCATGAAATGTAGCAGTGTATACGGTTTGATTTTTGCCTGTAAAACTCATTCTGGCAAATGGGTGGGACTTTTGGAATAGCTAAGTGCAGATTTTAGGAAATCCTCTCCTCCCCTCAAAGCAAAGATAAAGTGGGACAAAATTGCCAAAGACAGCCATTTAAAGACTGTAAATTTAACCAAAGACATGCAATGGGCTTGGTGCTTGTAAGTCAGTGGTTAGGGTGCAGACCACATCACTGGGGCTGATGGGTTTGAACCTGGCCCGGGCCTGCTAAACAACTATGACAATAACAACAACAAAAGAGCCAGGTGTTGTGGTGGATGCCTGTAGTCCCAGCTACTTGGGAGGCTGAGGCAAAATAATCACTTAGGTCCAAGAGTTTAAGGTTGCTGTGAGCTGTGATGCCATGGCACTCTACCAAGGGTGATATAGTGACACTCTATCTCAAAAAAAAAAAAAAAAAAAAAGAAGAAAAAAAAGACATGCAACAAATTGAGAAGTGTTAATTTAAGAGAGTCTACTGAGGCTTGGGCTCCCAGACAGAACAGTGGAAGTGTGTAGTGTTTTAGTGCTGCTCCCACCCCCGGAAGCTCTCTTGGGCAGTGGGCAGACTGGCAGTGATAGAAGAGAAAAACTGACTTCATTTGGAGCAAAATATGGAAAATTCCATGCCTAGGGATATTGAAAACAATAGTTATCTCACTGGCAAACAATCATCGAAGGACAAAATTGCTGTTAGTTTGAGGTTGCAGTACTGGTTGGGACAAATAATAGACCAAAAGATCAACTAGAAATTTCACAGAGAAACAAGGTGATGACACAGCTAATGAGGGTCTTGAAAAGCTGCCAAGTATATCTATGTGGTGGTCTGGAAGTTGCACATAAAACCCCATGAACGTTCAGGAGAGACTGGAGGGGGCCTACTAAGTCTCTTATTTCTGTTGAGGCTTTTTGAATGCATAAATAAAAGCTGGGATAGACTGGTAAAATTCTAGAACTTTGAATAATTTTTTTTTTAACCACATAGATCTAGCAGCAAAGCATGAAGCTTTTCTAGCTCAAGGTCACTGACTGCCTAGTAAGCTATATTGTTGCAGGAAACCAAGCTTAAAATTAAAAACAAGAAAAAAAAATCCCTAAGCAGACATCTTAGTGGTTGCATACTGTGAGGGAAACAGATATCGCAGAATTAGTCCAGGTAGGTCACTAAACAAACAATAATCAGAAACAAACATCAGCACTGATTAGAGGGTAGAACAGAATACAGATGTGCAATAATACAATGCAATACCTAAAATACCTATAATGCAATTACCTAAAATGTCCAGTTTTCAATAACAAATTATGAGCTCTGCATAGAAATAGGACAAAGTGATCCATACATAAAACAGAAAGTGATTAGAGACTATTTCCTAGTGGGCCCATAGATATAGCAAATATTCTAAGTAGCTATTATGAATATATTTAAAAAGTAATTGAAATCAGGTTTAAAGAATTAAAGGAAAGTAGAATGACAATTATTGATCAAATAGAGAGTATCAACAAAAAGGCAGAAATTATAAATAAAAGCACCAAATGGAAACCCTGTGGTTAAGTAGTATAGTACAATGACTGGAGTGATTCAACAGCAAATTTGAGTTGCCAAAAAGAAAGTAAGAATCAGAAAATTTGAAGATGGATCAATAGAGATTATCTAATATGAAGAGTCGGGAAGGGGGATAAAGAAAAATGCTTAGAGCTTCAGAGACCTCTGAGACATCATTGAGTAAATCAGCAAATGCATAATGAGATTTGCAGAAGGAGAGAAGGTAAAAAGGCAGAAAACATATCCCTGTCTAAAAAAATAACAAAAGCCAGGTGTGGTGGCTCATGCCTATAATTCTAGCATTCTGGGAGGCTGGGGCAGGAGGATTGCTTGAGGTCAGGTGTTCAAGATCAGCCTGAGGTAGAGCAAGACCTCATCGCTACTAAAAATAGAAAAATTAGCTGGGTGTTGTGGTGGGGGCCTGTAGTCCCCAGCTACATGGGAGGCTGAGATAGGAGGATCTTTTCAGCCAGAAGTTTGAGGTTGCAATGAGTACGATGATGATGGTACTGCACTCTACCTGGGCGATAGAGCAAGCCTCTGTCTCAGAAAAAAAAAAGAAAAAAGATAAAATTGAATATTTTACATATTTGATGAAAATCATTTATTTACACACCCAAGAAGTTCCATGAACAACTAGACATATCTTAGTTAAATAGCTGAAAACCAAAATGAGAAAATCTTTAAAGGAGCAAGAGAAAAAATAAAGACTTACTATATACAAGGGAACTATGATAAAAATAATAGCTGACTTTTCATTAGAAACACTGGAGGTCAAAAGACAGTGAAAGGGAATTTTAGATGTTCTGAAAGAAAAAGAACTGTTAACCAAAAATCTTATATCCAGTAAACCATCTTTCAAAACTAAAGGCGAAATAAAGATAATTCCAGGTAAATGAAGACTGAAAATTTATGTCCATTAGACTTGCCTTAAAAGAAATAGCAAAGAAAGTTCTTCAGGCAGAAAGGAAGTCACACCAGATAGTAATTCTAATGTACATAAAAAATACAAAGTATCAGTAAGGGTGATTACATAGGTTGTTATAAAGAAGAGTATAAACATAAATTTTATATTTTATTCTAACTAATCTTAAAGGCAATTGAATAAAACAATTACAAGTTCTATTCTTGGTCTTATAACATGAAAATATGTAATAAATATGATAGCACAAAAGACAGAGGAAGAAATGAAGCTGTATTATAGGAAGAATATGACACTGTCTGGTGTCATATTGACAGTAACTTGAATCAATAGAAAGAAATGCAGAGTACTAGACATGGTAAAAATGTGGTTAATATAAAAGACTGTAATTATTTTTCCTTTGTCTTTTAACTATTTAAAAGACATAAGTTTGTATAAAGCAATATTCATGACACCATTTTGAGCTTATAACATATTATATATTTATATAATATATTTGGCAATAATAGCATAAAGGAGGGGAGAGAGAATGGAGCTAAATGGGAGTAAAGTTTCTGTATTTGGAGTTAAGCTGGTATTAATAAGAAGTAGGTAGTAGTGATATGTCAAGATGCATATTGTAATACCTAGGCAACCAGTAAGAAGATAGTTCAAAAATATTGTTAAAAAATTAACAAAAAAATAAAAATAGTACATTAGTATGTATTTGGTACAAAAGAAAGTGGCAAAAGAGGAACATAGGAACAAAATAAGACATGTAATATATAGAACATTGAGAACAAAGAAGATATAAATCCAACATCGTTAATAGTAACATTAAGTGTGAATGAACTCAACATACCAGAAAAAGGCAGAGATAACCTGACTTAATAGTCCTAGATCCAGTTATGTGCTATTTACAAAAGATATACTTTAGATCCAAAGTCACAAATAGGTTGATGTAAACAGTAACCATAGCAGGAGTGGTTGTATTAACATCAGACACAATAGACTTTCAGAGAAGAAATATTATTAGGAAAAATAGAGACATTTTGTTATGGTTAGAAAGGTTAATTCATTATGAAGATACAACAATTATAAACATACACATCCAATAACATAATACGTGAAGCAAAAACTGATAGAATTGAAGGGAGAAGTTGGAAATTTGGAAATAATAGTTGGGTGACTTTAATACCCTTTCATGATGGGTGGAACAACTTGAAAGAAAATCAGTGCTATACAGAAGATGTGAACAACATTATTGATCAACTTGACTTAACTTACATTTATAAAACGTTTCACTCAGTAATAGCAGGAGACACATTTTTCTCTAGCATACATGACTATTTCCTAGAATAGACCATATTATAGGCCATAAAGTCTCAGTATATTTGAAGGAATTGAAACCAGACAAATATTGTCTGTGATCACATGAAATTAAATTAGAAATTAATAACAGAGATATTTTGGGAAATCCACAAGTATAGGCATTTAGAAATTATACCACATACTTATAAATATCCCATGGTCAATATAGAAACAGAAATTAGAAAATACCTTGAGCTGAGTGAAAATGCAAACAGAACATATCAAATTTTCAGATGTAGCTGAAATAATACTTAGGTGAAACTTTATAGCTGTGAAAGCCTATATTAGAAAAGAAAAAAGATCTTAAGTCAGAATTCTAAGTTCATACCTTAAGAAAATATGGAAAATGGGTGGCACCTGTGGCTCAGTGGGTAGGGCACCAGCCCCATATACCAAGGGTGGTGGGTTCAAACTCGGCCCCGGCCAAACTGCAACAAAAAATAGCCAAGTGTTGTGGTGAGTGCCTGTAGTCCCAGCTACTCGGGAGGCTGAGGCAAGAGAATCACCTAAGCCCAAGAGCTAGAGGTTGCTGTGAGTTGTGACTACATGGCACTCCACCAAGGGGGACAATGTGAGACTCTAAAAAAAAAAAAAAAAGAAAGAAAGAAAAGAAAATATGGAAAAAAGCAAACTAAACACAAAACAAGTGGAAATAAGAAAATAATTACTATTGAAGCAGAAATCAATGAAATAGAAAACAGAAAGCAATAGAGAAAATTAATGAGGCCAAATGTTGGTTCTCTGAAAGATAAACAAAATTGACAAATCTTTAGCTATCCTAACAGAGAAAATAAAGAATATTGATGTCACCAAAACCAAGAATGAAAGCGTTCTGACTCTTTTTTTTTTTTTTTTTTTCAGTTTGGCCCTGGCAGGGTTTGAACCCATTACCTCCGGTATATGGGGCAGGTGCCCTATGCCTGTGAGCCACAAGTGCTGCCCAGGGTTCTGACTCTTAATCTTACAGACATTAAAAGAGAATACAATGAAAAACTTTATGGTAACAAATTACGCAATTGAGATGAAATGGGAAGATTCCTAGAAAGACACAAATTACAAAACCGGCTCAAGAAGAACTAGAAAATCTAAATTGAATTAGTAAATAAAAATCTCTTTGAGGGCGGAGCCTGTGGCTCAAAGGAGTAGGGCCCCAGCCCCATATGCCAGAGGTGGCGGGTTCAAACTTAGCCCCGGCCAAAAACTGAAAAACAAAAAACAAAAAACAAAATAATCTTTCTGAACCAAAAGCTCACTTGGGAATTCTACCATACATTTAAAGAAAAAAATGATCAATCTTTCATAAACTCTTTCTGAAAGTAGAGAAAAGAATGCTTCTCAATTCATTCTATGAGGCCAGTATTACCCAAAGCCAGACCAAGATACCTCAAGAAAAGAAAACCAAAGAATAATATTTCTTATGAATTTAGATATAAAAATTCTCAGAAGAATGCTACCAAACTTCTAAAATCCAGCAGCATTTGAAAATAATTATGCATAATGACCGAGATTTATCCCAGGAATATAAGTTTGGTATAACACTCCCAAATCAGTTAATGTAATAAACTGTGTTAATAGAGCAAAAGACAGAAATCATATGATTATCAAATACTTCAGGAAAAAGCATTTGCCAAAACCCATCATTCATGATAAAAATTCTTTTTTTTGAGACAGAGCCTCAAGCTGTCCTCCTGGGTAGAGTGCTATGGCATCACAGCTCATAGCAACCTCCAACTCCTGGGCTCAAGCAAGTCTCCTGCCTTAGTCTCCCAAGTAGCTGGGACCACAGGTGCTCGCCACAATGCCTGGCTATTTTTTGGTTGCAGCCATCATTGTTGTTTGACGGGCCTGGGCTGGATTCGAACCCGCCACCTTGGGTGTACATGGCTGGCACCTTAGCCACTTGAGCCACAGGCGCCAAGCCCATGATAAAAATTCTATTAAAATACTATAAAGCAAAGAGAGTTTCTTAACTTGAAAAAGGGCACCATTTAAAACCCTAAAACTAACATATTTAATGGTGAAAGACTAGGAACAAAGTAAGGGGATCTTTTGTTTTTGTGTCTTTTCAATGTGTACAAAACTAGAAAATCAACCTATACAAGTGCATATCAGAAATATTGTGGGTTTGGTTCCAGACCACAAAAATGAAGCAAATATTGCAATAAAGCAAGTCACACAATTTTTGTGGTTTCCCAGTGCATATAAAAGTTATGTTTATATTATCCTGTGGTCTATTAGTGTGTAATAGCATTATGTCTAAAAATGTGCATACTTTAATTTAAAAATACTTCATTGCTAAAAAAATGCTACTGAAGTGAACACATGCTGTTGGCAACATGGTGCCAATAGACATTTTTGACATGGAGTCAAAACCTTCAGTATTTAAAAAATATATCTGTGAAGTGTAATAAAGCAAAAGTTTAATAAAATAAGATATGCCTGTATTTATAGAACTATTATAATTCATAAATATGTTCAGCAAGGTTGCTATAAGATTAATGTACAAAAAGTGGATACATGTATTTTTTTCCATTATAGAGCAAACCAAGACCCAGACCTGGAGACCTGATTGAGATTTTTCGCATTGGCTATGAGCACTGGGCTATCTACGTGGAAGATGATTGTGTGGTCCATCTGGCTCCCCCGAGTAAGAGTGGATACTCGATTGAATTATTGATATTTAAGTTAGTTGAGTAAATGGAAGTGCAGTTATGGAATACTGTTATGTTCCTCAGCTGCTGCCTTTCTTTAGCGGGGAAGCCTCTGAAACATTGTTTTACTGTGTGGATCTCTATCACCAATAACCACGGAGTGTCCGGTCCTGAGAGTGATACATGTATAAATAATGTCCCCCAGGTTCCCTGACCTCCTACAGCACCCTTTCTTTGCAAATGCAAATTTTAGAACATGAGTCTTCATTTTGTATTGACAACTGTTCTGCATCTTGCTTCATATTCCCGCGGATTCCCCAGGAAGGATGCAGATGCTTAGCTGTTCTGATTGTCACTTGTTCTCTGTTGTCCCTAAATGCTCCTTCTGGCTTCCTGATCACCTTCAGCACCTTCATCCTCACCTTGTCTCCCTGCTGTTCAGTGTGCTCCAGGCTGTTTCACTCTAAATGTGGAAACAGTTCTTTGATTTTTCAAGGCAGCAGTAACAAAAGGCTGAGATTAAACTTGTGGTTAATTAAATATCAGGGGAGGTCTGATGGGGAGGAGGAGGTAATAATAGTGGATGATTATAGCATCATGGGAAACAACTTTAAATTGGATACCCAGGACTGCTGATCACAGTGATTGCCCCAAGAGGTGGAACCTGGTAGGTGGGGCAGTCGGGAGATAGGGAAGGAGCGGGATTCCATTGCATATTCTTTGATACCTTTAGACTTTCATATCCTGTGAAAGTATTGCTTATTCAAAATTAAATTAAAGAGGGGCATTGTACTGAAGGCCTTTGGTCACAACTTGTTTATAGCTGTCATCCTTGTCTCTTGTCCTTCTCCTCGGTCCAGCCACTCACTTTGCCAGGATCGTCCCACAGAAAAGTGTCCTGTTCTCACTGCTTCTCTTCTCTGTTCCATCCACTCACACCCTTCCCACTTTTCTCTCTCGGGGTCTACTCAAGGAATATAAAAATTCAATCTCCACCTCTCCTTTCCAGTAAAGTCCAGAAGTGTCCCTCTTCTATAACCAACGAGACATTTTAACACTTATGTTGTTCCCTCACTATAGATATTTCTTTTTTAAATTTAACAATATTAAGGGGTACAAATGTTTTAGGTTACACAGATTACTTTTGTAATTCTTGAGTCCCTACTGTCGGTGTGCCCATCACACAAATGTGCTCATTTTACTCATTGGGGAGGCTTTTGTCTGTTCCCTTCTCCACTCTCTCTTCTTGATTCCACTGAGTCTTACTTTCCTCTGTGTATGTGTGTGCTCATCAGTTAGTTCCAGTTTAATAGTGAGTTGTTGTGTTTGCTTTTCCATTCTTGAGATACTTCACTTAGGAGAGTGGCCTCCAATTCCATCCAGATTGTTGTAAAAGGTATTAAAATTCATTTTTTTATGGCTGAGTAGTACTGCATGGCATACATATTTCACATTTTATTAATATACTGATGAATTGATGGGCACTTGGGATGATTCCACATCTTTGCAATTGTGAATTGTGCTGCAATGAACATTTGAGTGTCTTTTTGATGAAAAGTCTTCTTTTCCTTTGGGTAGATACCCAATAGTGGGATTGCTAGATTGAGTGGTAGGTCTACTTCTAGTTCTTTGAGGAATCTAGTTCTTTGTTTTCTATAGATGCTGGTGTGGATGCAGAGAAAAAGATCTTTAAGAATGAATTCTGCCATCTCTGTTCCTGAATGCTGAATTTTCTACTCCCAACTTTTATAAAATCAGCACATTTTCTTCAAGTACATAGGAAAAGAACAAGGAATATTTCCTGTTCTTGGACAACTCACAAAGGGAGAGGGTATACACATTTGCATATCCATATGGTTGTAGTGGAAAAATAGTCCTGATTTTAAATGACTGTCCCTTAGCCCCAGAGACACTCTCAGAGTCTCAATCTCTTCTAAGGCAGTAATGTAGCAGGCTTTAAAGATTAAAAATCTGTAGAACTCTATTTTCAAACAAGCCCTTAGAAAAAAATCCCCATTTTTAAATAATTTCAGAATATTAGGGGGTACATGTGTTTTGTTTATGTACTTTGCTTTTGTACAAATCAAGTCAAGGTTATAAGCGTGCCCCTCACGCAGATAGTGTGCACCGTACTTAATAGGTGTGAATTTACCCATTCCCTCCTCTTCCCTGTCCTAATTTGATTTTCTTTGAGATTTACCTCCATATGTACACTTAACTGTTGATTGATCATTTCCAACCTGATATTGAGTACCTGTGTTTGTTTCTCCATTCCTGTGAAGTTTCACCCGAAGAATGTTTTCTAGTTCTATCCAGGTTACAAAGATGTGGAAATAACGCTAGTACCCATCAATACATGAATGGACTAATAAAATGTGGTATATGCACACTGTGGAGTTTGGCTGAGTTTATTACTAGTATCTTTTTTATCTTTGAGACAGACTGTCACTCTATCGCTTGGGCTAGAGTGCTGTGGCCTCAGCTTATCTCAAAGCAACTTCAAAGCAATCCTCCTGCCTCAGCCTCCTGAGTGGCTGGAACTATAGGAACTTGCCACCATACTTGGATAATTTTTCTATTTTTAGTAGAGATGGGGGGTCTTGCTTTGCTCAGGCTGGTCTCAAACTCTCGAGCTCAAGGGATCATTCCACTTTGGCCTCCCAGAGGATTACAGGCATGAGCGACCATGTCCTGCCAAGAATCCCCATGTTTGAGTAGAGATTATGACAAGTGATTTTTAACCAGTGTGCCATGAAAATTTTTAAAGATCATTAATTAGATTATTTTTGAAAGAAGTTCAAGGCGCAGTGAGTATATTCTTTTTTTTTTTACTCTTTTTTGGATCAACATAATTTAAGTGTGCTGTAAAATAAAAGAGATTGAAAAACACTGTTGTAGATGGAAGCTGGTATACCTTTCAGAGTCTTATCTGCTTGCTTTACCTGTGCCCCTGTAGTGGCCATGGAGAGAGCATGCCATGAAACCACCATGTTCATGTACATGATAGCCCCTTACACAGGAGCTGACACTTACATAGAGGGTGCGCATTGCACATTTGTGAAGATCACTGAAGTCTAGTTAGGAAAAGACTCAAATCCTAGGGCATGGGCAACACAGCCTGGGGCCACATAGTAAGGTACTTCTGTGGGAGTACTGCATTTAATAAGAAAGAGACTCCTATGGGGGTTGAGAGTGGGGGGTGTAGTGAAGGGCAAATGGCGTCTTGGGAAGGTAGTTTATTTAGCTCAGCTCCCCCTCCTTTGCCATGCCTTTTGTTGATGGTGGGGACTAGGTTCCAACAGACATGGGAGGGGCTTACCAGAGTCTCAGACTGGGCTGGTGCTACTTGTTGCACTTTCCAACTTTTGTTTGTTTTTGGCCTCTAGGTGAGGAATTTGAGGTCGGCAGCATCACTTCAATTTTTAGTAACCGGGCTGTGGTGAAATACAGCCGCCTGCAGGATGTACTGCATGGCTGTTCCTGGAAGATCAACAACAAACTAGATGGGACATACCTACCCCTGCCCGTGGACAAGATCATGAGGCGTACTAAAAAGATGGTCAACAAGATAGTGCAGTACAGCCTGATTGAAGGGAACTGTGAACACTTTGTCAACGACCTCAGATATGGTGTGCCCAGGAGCCAGCAGGTATGGCCTCATTTGCCCTGATGGTGGTTTCCCCTAGAACCGTGGTTTTCAACCTGTGGGTCATGACACACAGGAGCTATATTAAAGGGCTGCGACATTTGGAAGGTTGAGAACCACTGCCCTAGAGCTTTCTTAGATTATGTCATTGACCACAGTGGCAATCAGCAGTTTCATATAACTTGATGTACTGGTAGGGCCTTATTTCTGCAAGACTTTGTGGGTCAGGAGGTAGTTTTTCCTCTAGTAACACATGGAGGAGCTGAGAAGGCACTGAGCTAATAGTAATACTTACCTGGTTGGAGCCCCCAGCTCAGCTATTAAGTGTTGGGTCTCCTTGGTCAAGTCATTTTATTTCTGAGACTGTTTCTTCCTTTGCAAAACAGGGATAGGTGGAGGTGGATACTAAAGTTGCAAACTAGTAACCTAGAGGCCATATTTTGTATCTGTATGATTTAATTTGAATTTCTTGTCAGCATTTGAAAATATGGAAAATTTACACAAAAAGATCTGGATTCTCAGCTTCTCTTGAACTGCCAATTGATCAGTCTATTGGGCTGGCATTCCTGTTCTCTGACACCCTGTGGGGCCATGCTGTGGCTCTGTGACCTTCCCCTTCTACCACTGAGGGTAATGATAAACTCGATGTGGTATGTTACATGCAAAAGAGCTTTTACAGCCTAAGTATCTGCAATGATCTGGGCTGCTTTTGTTAATAGGTAATCTCTACTAAAACCCCATGAGATGAACAGTGGAAGTATTTATTGTCTCCTTTTAAATAGATGAAAAAGAACCAAGGCAGAAAATAATTGCTCTATTTTTTTTTAATTGCTCTATTCTCCCCCCCCCCCACATTTCTTATGTTCTCTGAACAGTCTGGGCTCAAATCCCAATGTTAGTCTCTCTGCTCTTACTATCCCAACTGTCAGTGGGAGCCTCCTGCCCTTTTGCTTTCTGCATCCTTTCCTAGCTTGTATTCTATTCTTGTGAGGCCTTGCTCCAGGGCCAGGGCTTGGTGGTCTCTGATGTGGAGAATCTCCTATTCCGTGAGCATTCATGCATGAAAAGGTGACCGCAAGGATTGTGGCCATTATAGGAAGCCATCTGAAGAACCCTGGGCCCAGGAGTCATGAGGCTCAAGCCCATGAGCTGAACTTGGACACAGATTCTCTGTGTGGCTCTCTGTAAGTGAGTTGCCTTACTGGAGCTCAGATTCTTCTTTTGTAGAATGAGAACCTCAGCGGTTGTGTCACTCTGAGATCCTTTGCCTCTGAGCCCCACACTGGAGGCAGACAATGGGCCAAATGGCTCCAAGGGAGAAGGAATATGTCTGTGTCCGGGCTCAGGATGCCTTGTCTCTGGCTCTGACCCAGGGCCTCGATGGAGCTGGTCACTAGGTCTTCAGCCCCAGCTCACTCAACTGTCTGGATGTGGGCTGCTGCAGAGTTGGTCTCGTTCAGGTCTCAGGTGCCGAAGCACTTTAGAAGTCACAGTCAATATTAGTAGGAGTGAGCATCTCAGCAGCAATCTCTCAGCAGCAGTCTTAGTAGGGGAGCGCCGATCTGGCGTCCTCCAAGCAAGAAGCGGAGCCAAAGGAGGAGCCCTGGCTAACTTCTCTTGAAGCTATTTATAGAAGTAATCCTGTGGCCACCTGTGCCACCAGTGTGGAGACTGCTAACCAATGATACATGTACTTTTGTGCTCTTGTACATTTCACTAACGACAACCAATGATGTTCAATCCCTTCCTCAATCCCTTATTGCCAAGATATTTCTCATGGGTGCCTCCTACAGTGTGTCTCCAGCAATTCTGGATTCCCTTGGTCTCTTGTAGCTCTAGGACTTTTGGAAATACAGGATAGCATAGCTTGCTTCCTCTTTTAGGAAAAACTCCAGGCAGGCTTGTTTCTGAATGGGAATGGTGGGGTGGAGGTAGGGAGGGTACAAGCCTGGGACTGGTACTGACTGTCCTGGAACTCTTGTGCTCTGCAGGTAGAACATGTCCTGATGGAAGGTGCAAAGGCTGCGGGAGCAGTTATTTCAGCTGTAGTGGACAGCATAAAGCCCAAACCAGTAACTGCCTGAAGAGCCCCTACACAGCAAAGAGAACGTGCCTCCTTCCCTCTCCTTGCTTTCTTCTGTCAAATGATCCTGATTAAGAAAACTTAGCTTCTGGAAGAATCTAGATGTATCCAATTACCCCTCTGGAAATACATCCCCTATATGGGATCACAGACTCAAGGACTCTGAGGATGGGAAGAACTCATATCTATTGTGTGTCTGTTATGTCCCAGGCACTGTGCTAGGCATTTCATATACTTATCTGATTTTGTTCTCTTTGTAGGAAGGAGTCTTGCTTGTTTCTTACGCTGACTTTGGTCTGTGATACTCAAATGCCATCAGAAACACCCCAGAAAACTCTGCTTGAACATTTTCAGATAATGAAGAACTGTTCCCAGAGTTCTTTTCATTGAACTCAAATGTCTCTAGTTTCTTTCCATTTAATTCTGCCTTTTTGGACCTGTGGTGTAGTTTGTAGGTTGAGTGGGGGGTGGGGAGAGGACTTTAAGAAAAACTGTGAGTCAGTTAGTATTCAGGGGCCTACTGTCCCTTAATCCAGAAAACACATTTCCTAAGAAATGTTTTCTTTTAAGCATTATATATCAAATTTATTATTTCAAGTATCATTGATACCATTCATCTTGCTTTTCTACATTATAATTACCAAAATATTTAAAGTTTCCATTCTCAATGATTTCAGATGAATCTTTAAAATAATTTAATCAACTGACCTTTTCCATGTGAATGAAGGAGAGCAAAGAGTAGTTTTTTAAATTTTTTTTTTTTTGAGACAGAATCTCAGGCTGTTGCCCTGGGTAGAGTGCCATGGCATCCAGTTCATAGCAACCACAAAGTCTTGGGCTCAAGCAATTCTCTTGCTTCAGCCTTTCAAGTAGCTGAGACTACAGGTGCCTGCCACAATGCCCAGCTGTTTTTTTGTTGCAGTTGTCATTGTCGTTTTAGCTGGCCCAGGCTGGGTTCGAACCCTAGAGCCTTGATGTTTGTGGCTGGTGCCCTACTCACTGAGCTGACCTATGGGTGCCGCCCAATTTTTTTTTTTTTTGTAGACTCTTGCCCCAGGCTAGAGTGCCATGAAATGAGCCTAGCTCACAGCAATTTCAAATTCCTGGGTTCAAGCCATCCTTCTGCCTCAGCCTCCTGAGTAGCTGGGACTACAAGCACCCGCCATGATGCCTGACTAATTTTTTCTAATTTTAGTAGAGATAGTCTCTCACTGTTGCTCAGGTTGGTCTCAAACTCCTGAGCTCAAGGGAGCCTCCTGCCTCAGCTTCTCAAAATGTGGGGATTATAGGCATGAACCACCATGCCTGGTTAAAGAGTGGTTTTTATGTTTTGAAGAATGTTGACATGGCAACAGATCTGTAATTATGGCTGGGAATTATAGTGCCTGTTGAGAGCTGAGGCCACTAATGAAAGCTAAAGAAGGGTTCGCTTATGACTCTGCAGATACCTAGAAAACAGGAAAAATGTGGATGAGGATAAGATGGAGCTGTCCAAGTGTTTAAGATCTGTCTCCCATGAGCTTTTCTCTTGGAGAAAATAGACTCTCAATGAAACTGTCCAACTTTTTGAGCTGGCCATTTAAACTTGACTGTCTCTTCCTGTTTCCTAGATGCTGTAGGCTGGGTGCCTGGCTTTTTCTCCCTTTCCCCCCATTTCTGTGAGTCATGACTAGGATGAAACCTCTAGTTCCTCTTCCCAAAACACTGTTGTCCTCCCAATCCCTGAAAATCAGTTGAGTTCCCAGTACCTCTCCCTTCAATCTCTACCCATCATATGTTCTAGATTGAGACTTCCTTTGAAACAGAACTTAAGAACTAGGGATTTATATTTTATTTTATTTTTTGAGACTGGAGTCTCAAGCTGTACCCCTGGGTAGAGTACTGTAGCATCACAGCTCACAGCAACCTCCAACTCCTGGGCTCAAGCGAGTCTCCTGCCTCAGCCTCCTAAGTAGCTGGGACTACAGGCGCCCGCCACAATGCCTGGCTATTTTTTGGTTGCAGCTGTCATTGTTGTTTGGTGGGCCCAGGCTGGATTTGAACCCACCACCTTAGGTGTATGTGGCTGGGGCCTTAGCCACTTGAGCCACAGGCACTGAGCTGGGATTTATATTTTATAAAAGTATATTCCTTTTAGCTTTTAAACTAACTCAGCTATGTTTCAGTGAACACTTTAATCTGAAGATGACTTTGAACTCATGGAGCATTCTAATCTGTAGTCAAACAAAGTGAATGTTGTTTGACTAACAATTACCCATATGAAAGAATATTTAGTACCTTCTAAATGAGGGGTCCTCAAACTTTTTAAACAGGGGGCCAGTTCACTGTCCCTTAGACCATTGGAGGGCCGGACTGTGGGCCCTGGGATGAGTCAGCTGCTAAGCAGGATAGGCAGCAGCGGCAAAAACACCCGGTGGGCTGGATAAATGTCCTTGGCAGGCCACATGTGGCCCACGGGCTGTAGTTTGAGGACGCCTGTTCTAAACATAGGACTTATCCATCTCTTGCATATATTTGGAACAGAAAGACACTTTTCTGTCTTCTTTCCTATTTGAAACCAGTAGAGCAGACACTCTCCAGAGCATATCAGGACTCGTGTTTGCTCATCCAAAAAACATTTTTGAGTGTCTCCCAAGTGCCAAGTCCTACCTGCCCCCACCCTTGCCTGAGCCTATAAGCAGTGGTCACGGTTCGCTGTGAAAAGTTCTGAGTCAGTTGGGAGGACTTAAAGCACAATGAACCATGGGGTAAAGTTCGCTTGTTGGATGTTGAACCCTTCCACTTCCAAGCTGTCTGTCAGGATGAGAGCTCTGGAATACACACCCTATACTTTGAAAATGAGGAGAGGAGGGTTTCTTAAAGTGGCTTTTCTTTTTTAAACCTGTGGCAATTTTTGGAAATTTTAGAAATTGAAATCTCTACTTTGAGTGGGGCCACTTGGATAATATAAGGCCCATGCCCACTGTTAATGGGGTAGGGAGGGGAAATCATAAGGGAATGCAGATGTTTCTGAGAATGGTTGAACACTGGTCTCTGATTTCCCTTATAGGGGGTGGGTGAGTGAGGCAGTGGTGGAATTTGGTCGCTTGCCATGTCATGTGGACAGAGAACTTCAAAGTGCTGTGTTCCTACATGGTAGGAGGCCTGGTGCCAGGGATGCAGGAGCCAGCAGGTCCTGCATGCAGTCCAGGTGTTTTGCTCACTAATAGAATGACTGACTTTATGAAACAAACATCTCCACAGAGATCATCATATGGCTATCAAGGGGTCTGGTTTTGTTGGCTAGGAGTGGGGAATGTGTCAGGCAGGGATGCCAAATGAAAAGAGGGTAATAGACCCCGTCCTAGGGGCAGGAGACCAGAGGCTGCAGGAGAAAGGGCTAGAGGGGAGTCTTCTGCAACTCCAGGAGTAGAGAGAAGCTGTTCTCCAGTTCCCAGTTTTAAGTCTTTGTCTTATAATCACCTTTTGTTATCAGCAAGCTTTGTTATCATCTGTGCTTGGGGAATGAGGGAAGGAGTCTGTGTCCATGGTTTGTTGTACCCAGAAGTGTTGCTGCTGTGGAGAGAGGAGGTGAAGGGCCCCCCTTGGTGGTCCAGAGGAAGCAAGCAGACCAGGGAGGTTCCATGTTGATTTAAAATGCAAGTATTGTTTGTTCTCTGGAATACTCTGTCACGAACTGGATTTCCTGTAAGAGGAGCAGAGGTTGGTCCAAAAAGTAAGATTTTAAAGAGGACGATGATTCCTGAATCTGTAGGACTTGGGTGCTTGCTTGTGCCACACATAGACAAGCACAGCACCAGGAGAGTGGGAGCTGGATACACAGCATTCTGGTGATCATAGACCCTTTTGATCCCCACGCTTGTTGAGACATTTTTTATCACGTTAGCAGAACAATTAATGGTTATATAAACTGTAAGAAGACCATTTGAGCCAAAAAAAGTTCTTTTCTTTCAAAGTTAGTTTTTTCCCCACTGTTTTTGAAGCCAATTTTCAGCTGGAAAGAATCTTTAATGGGAAGCCAACTATTAAATATTTATGAACCTCATGCTGCTGCTTGGTACAAAACAAATGTTTTTTTTGCTAGATTGGGATGGTGTTTATTTTGTTTTAAAAGTATTTTTGGTGACTCAGATTATTTAGTTTGCTAAGTGAAATATACAAAGATTAATGTTTATTTTGAAAAAGATTGCTTAAAGTTCACCTTCAGAGTTAAAGCGTATGCGAGTTTATAATATTGTGGAGGGAGATGTTTTATTAAATGATTGATTTTTGGTACTTCCAGCTGTGCTTCAAAAAAGAGCTTTTGAAAAAAATCAGTGGAAGCCACATGTTTGTTGTATTTATGTGTTGATGAAAGGTTGCTACTCCCACCTTTGCCTGAATCTGTGAGCAGTGGTCAAGTTGGCTGTGAGTTCTGAGGTTAAAACACAAGGAACCCATGACCTTTGCTGATTTTCCAGAGCAGTGGCTTCCACAGTTTCCAGCAGAGCCATCTTCTTGTTAGACATAATATCACCGAGCTGCCCCTTGTAGAAAAAGATAATAAAATGGAGCAGCTGTGGCCAAAACATAGCTTCATGCAGAAAGCCAGAGTCATCTGCTAGCCTGGAAGCCCTTGCTGATGGGCTCTGCCCACGTTATGGGACTAAGATAATAATGACAGCAGTAGTGACATTCACTGAGTGTTCACTCTGTTCCAGGAACTGTTTCATGCACTTTAGAAACATCTCTATGAGGACCTACTTCATTTAACCCATCACCACATGTTCATTATTTCCATGACAGACTTTGTCGCCCCCCTAAAGAGATCACCCAACTGAACCAGCTTTGTCCAATGCTTTACCTGAGTAAACATTTACAGCGGTAATGTCTCCACTCAGCAAAAGAAGAAAATTAAAACAAAGAGTTGATTTACAACAAAACGAGAGATAAATAGGGAAGAGGGTTGTTAAGGCCCAAAGAGGCATCACGATAGTGGCAATTTGGGTACAGGCAAAGGAC